AAAAAAAAAAAAAAAAAAAAAAAAAGGGTTCGATCACTTTTTCAAAAAAGGCTGAAAGTGAAAGAGAGATGCTTTGAATGCACCAGAGGAGTTGGAAGACTGAAGGTGTTGAAGACCAGCTGACTGAAGCCACCTGCCATTGGACGAAGTCTCCAAGAAGTTATCGGAGTACTGTCGTTGGTGGTGCACCCCTACCGCACTAGATCTCTGCCCTTGTCTCCCAACCCCGTTCATCTCTCTTTCTCTCTCTGCACCCGATCCAAATCTCAATCAGACCCTCCAATCAAAAACTCAGATCAGGAACTCAACCCCTCTCTCTCTCTTCAAATGCACAGAAAAATCTCGACCATTTACTTCTGGCCTCTCTCATCCCCATCCTACCAGCTTCATCGCCGATAGCCCAACAACTACAAAATTGAATTCGCCCCATCCTTCCCAACACCCCATCAATATATACATCGTTTGTGCTGTGATGATGGTGAGTGTGGCTGGTTATCTCTGTAGTCCAAGCACTTCCTGAATCTTTCTTGTCGCTGGCACTGGCAGCCCACCATATTAATACCATGAAGTGCTATATGTGAAAATATATGAAGAATAGGGTTTGTATTGAGTGTGTTAAACCGTATACAGAGGCATGAGTTTTATACAAGTAAAGGAAAGCTATTCTAGGAAAACAGAGAAGCTATTCTAGGTAAACAGAACCTATTTATGCTGATTACAATTCGATCCTACAACCACTCCTAATTAGATCATAATCAGATCATTGACTATTTTGTTTCCTTTTACACTCCCCTTCAAGTTGGAGTATGGATGTTAATTATACCCAACTTGCTGAGATGCGTATGAAAGATGGGTGCCCTTAGCGGTTTTGTAAAGATGTCAGCTATCTGATTTCCTGTTGGCACATAAGCTGTCTTGATTTCACCCTTTTGGATCTTTTCACGAACTGTGTGACAATCTAGCTCGATATGCTTAGTTCTCTCATGGTACACCGGATTTGCAGCAATATGTAAGGCTGCTTGATTGTCGCAAAACAATCTTGCTGGTCCAGAATGTGGTACTCGTAAATCTCTCAACAAATATCTTAACCAAGTAAGTTCACAAGTGGCTGCAGCCATCGAACGGTATTCTGCTTCGGCTGATGATCTAGACACCGTGACTTGCTTCTTACTCTTCCAGGACACGAGTGAGTTCCCAAGGAAAATGCAATATCCTGTCACTGATCGTCGTGTCATAGGACACTTGGCCCAATCCGCATCACAATAACCAACCAAGCTTAGCTGACTTGTTGTAGAAAACAGTAAGCCTTGCCCAGGTGCGTTCTTCAGGTATTGAAGAAGATGACGTGCTGCCTTGAGGTGGTGTAGCTTGGGTTCTTGCATGAACTGACTCAAAGTATTCACTGCATATGTAATCTCTGGCCTGGTGATGGTGAGGTAGATTAATTTTCCAATTAATCGTCGATATTGCGCTGGTTCCTTGAGGGCATCACTACCTGTTGTCGTTAGTACCAACTCAGGTTCCATGGGGACTTTAGTGGGCTTCACTCCAAGCAAACCAGCTTCCTCCAATATGTCTAGAGTGTACTTTCGTTGACAAATTGAAATCCCGTCTTTAGAGCGTGCAACTTCCACACCAAGAAAATATTTTAATAGTCCAAGATCTTTAATCCGAAAACATCCGTTGAGAAATTGCTTGAGATTCCGGATTTCCTGCTCATCATTTCCTGTAATGATCATGTCATCAACATACAGTAATATCACAGTAATAGAGTTTCCACGAACCAAAGTGAACAACGAGTAATCGGCTCGAGATTGTTGGAAACCAATGTCTTGAATGGCAGAAGAGAACCGACGAAACCAAGTGCGTGAGGCTTGTTTAAGACCGTATAATGATTTGTGGAGTCGACAAACCATCTGCTCCCCCGGTCGACGATAACCAGGAGGTGGTAACATGTAAACCTCCTCAAGCAAATCCCCATGTAAAAATGCATTTTGTACATCCATTTGATGTAAAGGCCAATCGCGAACTGCAGCAATGGATAACAAGCAACGTACGGTGATCAATTTTGCCACGGGAGAAAAAGTCTCCTTGTAATCGATGCCCTCGCGTTGTGTAAACCCCTTTGCGACGAGTTGAGCTTTGTAGCGCTCGATGGTGCCATCCGAGTGATACTTGATCTTGTAGACCCACTTGCACCCAATGGGGCGATGACCCAAGGGCAGAGGGACAAGGGACCAAGTACGGTTGTCTTCAAGGGCCTTGATCTCAGAACTCATGGCAGCAAGCCATTTGGGATCCTGACTTGCCTGTGCATAATTTGCTGGTTCAACCAAGTGAGAAATGTTGGAAACAAAAGTACGGTGGGCATGAGATAACCGAGTGTAAGAGACATACCGTTGGAGGGGATACCGGGTGCCGGACGTAGAAGAAGAAGGAAGACCAGCCGAGAGCAGAGCAGCATGATGAGCCTGGTAGTGTTTAAAATGAGCTGGTGGATGGGAGGGTCTGCTGGAACGTCGAAGGGGAAGAGGTGGGCTGGCTGCGATGGTGTCCGGATCGGGTGAAGGGACGGCTGAGAGAGCTGGGATATGTGGTGGATCGGGGGGGTCTTGGGAAGACGACACAGGGAGATCGAGAGGAAGGGCTGGAGTCGTGATGGAAGATCTGGACGGTGAGGACAGCAGGTCTGGAGGGGTAATAGCTAAAGGGGGGTCGGTGTGTGGGCTGGAAGGAGTTTGGGAGGGTTCAAAAAAATTGGGCCCAGCTATGTGTGGGTCAGGAAGTGGGATAGGTAAAACTGGGAGGTCTTGTTGGTCTTCACAAGGTAAGTGAGCAAAAGGAAACGTGTGTTCATGAAATAGAACATCACGTGAAGTAACAATTTTGTGGTTATCAAGATCATAGACAAGGTAACCCTTCTGACCAAGGGGATATCCTAAAAATAAACAACGACGCGCACGAGTATCAAATTTGTGAATAGGAGTGAGATTTGTAGCATAGCATAAACACCCAAAAACCCGGAGGTGAGAATAGGTAGGTGGAACCCCGTGCAACAGTTCATAAGGGGATTTATGGGCAAGTAAGGGTGTAGGGAGTCTATTGATGAGATAAGAAGCAGTTTGAAGACTTTCGCCCCAAAATTTCAAAGGAACATTGGCTTGAAAACGTAAGGCTCGAGCAACATTCAAAAGATGGCGGTGTTTGCGTTCAACAACCCCGTTTTGTTGCGGTGTGTAAGCACAAGTGTGGTGAAAAATGGTACCATGACTATCCAAAAAGGAACGCATGGAGATGAATTCACCACCGTTATCAGCACGGAGAACTTTGATGTCATGATTAAATTGTGTTTTGACCCAAGAAAAAAATGATTTTAACAAGGGTTGTGTGTCAGACTTAAAACGCATAAGATGAATCCATGTGAAGCGAGTAAAATCATCCACAATAGTTAAAAAATAACGTGACCCAGAATGTGTAGGAATTTTGTGTGGGCCCCATATATCACAATGTATTAGATCAAAAGGTGCGGTAGATTTTATTGAACTATGAGTAAAAGGCAAGCGTGTTTGCTTTGCAAGAGGACAGACATCACAAACATGCGTAGAATCAAACATAATATTGGGAATTGTTTTGGATAAAAAATGGAGAGGAGCAGAGGAAGGGTGCCCAAGGCGTTGGTGCCAAAGATCCGAGGTACGGTGAATATGATGAGCTAGGTGGGGATTTTGTTGTGGCGTAAGATAGTAGAGTCCATCAAAATGCTTGCCCAGGCCAATCATCCTCTTCGTTTCCACGTCATGCACAACACAAAAATCCGGATAAAATGTCACCATACAATTCAATGCTCGAGTTAATTTACTCACAGACAATAAGTTCACACGAAATTTGGGCACATGTAGAACTCCATCA